AAAGTAAACATATTGTCCTTGAGTAGAAAGTAAGTCTACTCGAGAACTGTTGCTGCATAGGCCCTGGTGTTTCGGGCGATGCTGATCAGTCGATAATAAAGTCATTGCTAGTTGTTTTGGACAGAGATTAAAGAACTTGAACACAGGCAATTTTAAGTTGACTTTTTTTTATTAACGTCAATGTATACATATACATCTAACTAGCCAGTGGGGTCGCTCTCTCCTGCCACTGGGGAGCAGATTCAAACAGGAAGGAAATACGTCTACATTGCTCGACGGTTTAGCCTCAACTTACTGAAAACCTTTTTCTATCTGTCGTTCTCAGCCAATCAAAATCCTTTCTTTAGTCTTCCATCCGACCTCAAAGTTCAACCCCAGGTAGTCGGAGCAGCGATACCATTCCCCCTAAAAATAATAATCTGCTAAACTATTATTTAACACAATCTGTATTCTTTCATCCAATTTATAATAAAAATTTATCTTTCTTGATTTTTGAATTGCTATTAAGTTGTTTGAAAAAATATCATATTTTAGATAAAATGAACAAATTAGACAGGTTCAAATTATAGTGGACACATTATTAAAACATATTCTATTAAACAATTGCTGAGAAAAAACTTATTTTTTACTGATAATTAATGAGATAAGGTATTCGACGTTGTCGGCTTTATCTCGTATCCAAGAATTAAATTTCTTCTTTGTTGATCATTTCCTTTATGATGATTGGTATTGATGACTACATTCAACGCCAACGCGCATGTTCAGTTCTAGAAGCTTCCATAAGGTATTAATTAATATAAATTAATTAGATAAATAATTTCAACTGGGTGGATACTAAGTTAAAATAAAATTTAAATTATTTATAATTCACAGAGAAATATCAAATTTACACAGAACTTACAAAATATCAAAGTCATAATCTGTAAAGGTTTTTATAATCATTAAATTATTATAAATTTTATACTCTTCGAGTAATCCACTTTCAAATAGAATTCAATTCATGTGTTAAATATTCGTGTAGATCCTTGTCTCATCTCATAGATTGTTTGTAAAATAATGTCTGATTTTAGAATTTTAATTGTGTTCTAATACATTATTATAATAATAGCACGAAAGCATATTGCTCATTTCTAATTATTAAAGTTTTCTCTTTGTTAATATTATATCAATCTCTTTCAAAATTTAACTTACATTATATACCCCCCCCCATCGTGAACATTAAAAAAATGATTGTTTGTTTGGTTTTGATTAGCAACATACCTAATTTTATACCGAAAGCGAAATATTTTGTGTCAGTTTTATTTATTTTTTTTTTTTTTAGGTAATATTTTAAATGGTTTTAGTTACACAAGTCTTACTAATTAACCCATAGCTGGGACAGAAGGGGTGGATTCATACTTTTCCCAAGGGTATTTCCATATAAGTAAATATAACAAACCCGACTAGAATTGGATCTCGGCTCTCGGATTAGCACTTCCGAGCCATTATCTATTTCACCACCCGCACATCCAGGCATACACGGAACCTGATATTCCCAAGCAGCAATAAAAAAAGAAGCTCGCTTACTTTTTGCTGGAATTCAAGTGTGGTCATAATGCTTCCCAAAGCATTAACAGAACATGGGCTGAAGCAGACACTTGTAAATGGACAGTACTGGTTTCTGAAGTTCAGCAGTGGGGATACGAGTCTTGAAGGTCAAAGGTAGTAGAGGACGTCCATGTGTAAGTGACAATCAAAATCTGATAGCATTAGTCGACAAAGTCTCTGAGAAATTCCTCAGATAATGTGTGTCAGCATTTCGGCAATATCGTTGTCATGCTGAATAAACTCGATAAATAGGTCCCAAATGAACTGAAGAAAAGTCAAAGAGTTCTATGTTTCGAATTGTGTTCGATGCTGCATCTGCGAAAGTCGAATGTTCTGTTTCTTGATGGAATAGTGACTTGTGATGAGAAATAGATCCTTTGAACGATCGGCTCAATGCCTTGATCATGGCAATGCACCCGATCATTTTTCAAAACTGAAATTGCATCAACTTAAGATCATGGTAACTGTTCAGTGGTCCATCATTAGGCGTTATCAGTTACACCTTTTTTTTCATTCAGAATCTCACCAGAGCATCACTGCCAAAGTTTACTGCCAACAAGAGGATGAAATGCAGATTCAGTTAAGTAAATTACGAACGGCCCTTGTTAATCAACACCCATCAACGGATGTTCAACACAAACGTTAAGTCGGTCCTGCTTTACGGCTCAGAAACTTGAAGGGTAACCAAGACAAACACCCACAAACTTCAGACATTCATAACCAATGTCTCAGAAACATCTTCAATATCTGATGACCGGAAGTCGTCACCAACAACCAAATCTGGGACAGGACCAGACAAGTCCCAATCGAGACGGACACCAAGAAACGGAAATTGGGATGGATCGGCCATACCCTCCGCAAACTTGCTTCTAGTGTCAACCAGGAAGGCCCTTGAAAGCGCCAAAATTGGGTCGACCAAAACCGAGTTAGCGCAGAAATGTTGATGCAGAGGTGAAGACAGCCGGCCGAGCTGAAGAGGATAGTCCGGAACCGCGTCCAGTGGAGAGGTGTTGGCCCTATGTTCCCCAAGGAATCAAGAGGCATAGTAGTAGTAGTAGTAGTTGTTAATCAATGAGGTCCTGTTCTGCACCATGAGAATGCTTGACCGCGTGTTGCCAGAATGGAACAAACTACTGACATATCAAAAGTAAATAAAACCCTCCCTAAATTTGAAAACCAAGGCTAATCAGTAAACTAACGTTGAATAAATAAAAGTTATTTATTTAATGAACGCTCAATTAACGGCTTTGAATTTCTTTACTCAGTCAAGCCGAGAAATAACAAGCTCTTCAATTTTCGACTGACCAACTTTAATGCAGAAGTTGTAGTAATTCGTCGTGGGAAGAAGGATTCATCCGTTTCTTACGCGGGGATCTATCTAAAAAAGACCCCTATTCAATAAGGTTCATGTCTGGTAATTGACTCACCTACGCTAGAACTCGAACCCCATTTTTCTCCAACCACGGTCCATTCACTTTTGTAGCAAGGCAGGAGCGCCGTCTTGCATGAACTATGTGATGTCCTTAGTCATTAGATGACTAGAAAAGATGGTGAGAATTCCTTACTGAAAGATGCGAATATATTCTGCAACATTAATGTTGCCAGTGCATTCTACCGATACCGAATGACCAGTGCCCCAAATCACTCCCCATGTCATCACCGAAAACACATCGTTAGTTGCAGGTGGTTCTTGGAGAACACATGACTGTGCCTTACCCAAATCCAAATACGTCATTGGCATTGAATCGAGTAAAGGAGGATTCATTTGAGATTATATCTTTCCAAAATCCGGACTCTTGTTGTACATGCTATTAACTTCTTCCCAGCTTTACTTAACGTTGGATGAGGTGAGCAAATGCCTACGTCTGGTAATCCTACCATGATTACAAATACTTTGAAGATGCCGCACATCTGTACTGTGCTTCGCATTGCTTGCAGCTTCTATATCTTGGGTTGCTTTCCACAGAAACAGCTAGGAAATATCTAGGGTCCAGATCAGTTAGAAACGTGGTGATACAATCTTTTCCTTCATTTCTAAACTGAGTGATGACCCCATTCGCTGTAGCCGGAGGAATATTAGGCTCTTCTGCAATTCTCTGAAATTCTGTGCTAAGTCCTCTTTCAAAAGTCTGACAATTCTGCTGACCATTTTTCTCTAGGCCAGGGTTTTTTCAGCTTGGGCAATATCGCCCATCGGTGGGCGATTTCAACTATTAGGTGAGCGATGATCAGTTGAACATAAAATGTTGGGGGCGATCGGAAATTTTAGTGGGCGATATAGGATTTTGAGTATTAAAAAGGTATTTCAACATATGCTACCCGAAAAAAATAAATATCCCCAGAAACAACGGATATTTGGTATTTTCTATTATTTTGAGAGGGTTCATTCTCATTCAAATAGTTCTTCAGATGAAATAACATTTTTTCAGATATAAATCCGATAACGGAAGACCAAGGAGAACAAAAAAATATTCGCTGAATTTTTATTAATTTCTAGCAGAATATATTCTTTTTAATATTATAATTGTGAAAAAAAATTGTTGCATTTCCTGTCAACACTTGCAATGCTAACGCTAACCATGAAACTGACCATGAAACTAAATTATATATATATATATATATATATACTTTTCATTGGACAAATTTGCTTTCTTTTGTTCTTTAATAAGGCACCAGCAGCCGTAGCTGCATAAGTCAACGTTATTTGTTACGCAAAATTCTACAGCACCTCAGTGATTCTTCTCTTAAGTTACTTAAGGCTTGTTGGAAGAGGGGGGGATATAGACCTGTCCTTTCACATAGCCCCATAGGAAAAAAATCATAAGGTGTCAAGGCAAGTGAACGTGGTGGCCATTTCCACAGTACATTGTCATTGTCACTGGCACGCCCAATTCATATTCCGTGTAGATTCTCATTGAGATAAGTCCGCACTGAGGTTTGGGTAGTGTTACGCAAGACATGCTACAGCCTGTTTGAAAGGAGCTGGACTACCGACCTGAAGCGTGCCGTGACACTGGTGGTGAGTATATTGAACATTTGTAAGGCTTTGTGAAATCGATTATAAAATCTACATCCGTTTGCATATCTTGTTCGAATTTTGATAAATAAATCTTTTTTGTTCAACATGAAGATTTTTTAAATTTCTTTTGTTTGTTGCATGTAGTTATTCAGATATTCATATTTTAAATTGTGCCATTTTTTTGTGAGGACTTTTTTTTACTTTGCATTTCTTCCAGCTACTATCATACACATTTTACTTTTATATTTTTTAACTTATATTTCCATATCGGCTTCTTAATGGTCGAACGTTTAACGTATATCGAAGTATCATACAAAGGGCAAAGTACTGCTCCAATCATTTAAAAGTAAGCTCTTAAATTTTTAAAGGTATTATATGGTGGTTTCCTTTTTTTATGATTATATACATTGAAGAAAAGTTAATACGTGCAGAAAAGTGTCTTTCAATCCCGGTCAGAAGATTTTATTTCTTTGAAGAGACAATCATCAACACGGTCTTTTTTATTTTTATTTTTCTGACAAGATCTTTTGCCTCTCACAACACTCTCTCCCATTCTCCCTCAATCTCTCTCTTGCTTTTGCTTTTCCACTCTCTCGTTCTTGCCTACCATTCTTTTGCTGTTTCTCTCTCAGCTTCCCTCTTGCTGTTGCTCTCTCTCTCTCTCTCTCTCTCTCTCTCTCTCTCTCTCTCTCTATCTTTTCCTCTTTCTGTTTTTACTATTGTTCTCTCACTCTCTTACAATTGGTCTTGGGTTGACACATTCTCTCTTTCTCTCTTTAGTTTATCTTATCTTCTTTATTCTCTCTCACTCACTCTCTCCCTTTTGCTTTTTGTTCTCTCTTATTCTCTCTCTTTTTATCGCGTCTTATCAGAATGACTGTGTGAGAGAAATATAGTTGACAAATATCCTCTAAATTACTGGAATGATTTGCCTTGTAATTTTTTATAAATTCATCATAGTATAGCTTATTGTTATTATAATTATTATTATTATTGTTGTTGTTGGCGGCGCCTGCATCTACCGTCATGTAATGTTTATCAAGTTAGCGTCTTTCGACCTACCCGCTAACCTAATGAACTCTGTCCATATTGCGTGACTAGTACTTGTGCTCTTGTGTTTAGTAGTTCCCCATTGTGTTTATTACTATTTAATTGATCAGCATACTTAAACCAGATGTATGATAGATATCTCAAAAGTCCGCCACACTTTCCTCGGTATCTTTCTCGTGATCAGAAAAGCCTTTGTCTTTCTTTGAAAGCGGAATTCATCTAATCGTAGACACGGTTCCAAATACAAATGCTATTATATTTTATGCATTTCTGGTTTCACATCGGATGTCTAGATACCGATTAAAATTGACAAAGTTTTGACACATCTCCCCTTCCTTCCTCAGTATCATACTCTGGGCATTTTCTGTTCTTCCCAAAATGTCTGAGTTCTGAATGTTTTTGACACGGCAACCGGCTTGCCAACTGTTGTAGCTACAGTTCTATCATTCAGACTCTTCGATGACATCAACGATCAATGACGCTTCTGGTTTGTAGTGAATCGATACACGACGTTTACACAAACACCGCATTTCCCACTTTAGTGTTACCATAACCTTACAGATGTCATATCAGAATTATTTTAGATAATAATGATTTTAATGATACAATTGCTACTAACTAACCCAAAGATGGAGAGAAGAGGTGGGTTCATGCCTTTCCCAAGAGCATTTGCGCGTACATGAAAATAACGAAACCAACTGGAATTGAAACACGGCTCTTCGATTAACAATTCCAAGCCGTTATTCATTACACCTTCTGCTGCATACCCACGCTTACAGCACCTGGTATTTTTAAGCGGTCACCACCTAGGTACCGACCAGGCTCGACGTAGCTTAACTTACGCATCATGGGTATGACGATAAACGATATTCGGTAGTAAGACCTCTGATCGGGAGGTTTTGAGGAACGTGGAACCACCTCTTAATTGCTGCTGTTCCCAGGTCCACCAAAATCCGGGGTAGTAGGTTCTTGTTAGCGTCCTATCTATGGGCAAATGTTTAACCCCAAACTGGAGTCAAAACACTATGAAATTATAAAAATAAATTGTTATAGTAAAAATGCCAGCAATGCATTTTTGAAAAAAAAAATATTACCAGCAATACATTTAACTCTCGACAAAACCCCTCTTCACAAAAATACGTCAATGAAACATGATCTACAAACTATTCATACGAACTTATCCATAAAATCTTATCGGCCTTAATAACCCATTGAGGCTGATATACCGTAAAACAAAATAAACAAACAAACTTAAGTATCTGTCTATATTTCTGAGATGAGGTATTATGTACACTATTTACATTATTCAGACTATTGTCCTCATCTTTGCCGCCATATTTATTAAAAACGTTTCGGCCGTTGTACGCTCCGGCCTTCTTCAGGTGGTTGGAATGTCGAAAAAACATGTAATGATAACAGCAAAAATTGCAATATGAGCACTGGTAAAAATTGGTTCTGAAGACGTTAGGTTTATAATACCCAGAAATACATACAAAGATCTCATGGCACAGTGGATAAAGGCGTTGGTTAGATCCAGTAACAGGACCCAAAGAGTGTTAGTTCAATACCCGGTTAAGGCAGTGGAGAACTTGGAGAGGGGAATTAACAGGAGATAACTGATAACTGACATCCATTAAACATGGCACGTGGAACTAGAACAGTCTACCCCAGTGAGCGAAATAAAGGGTTGAGTTCGACATTCCAACCACCTGAAGAAGGCCGGGGCGTACAACGGCCGAAACATTGTAATAAATATGGCGACAAAGATGAGGACAATAGTCCGAATAATGTAAATATCACTATTTACATTATCAAATGTCTAGATACTGTACCAGAATCGGTCTTTCAACGTGATACGCCAGTAAACCACCGTGATGAGGACACTATACAAAATAAATTTATATATAATAAAGATAACTTTTTTTTTTTTTCATTATTTTACTCTTCAAAGTTTTATTACGTATTATTTCTTCAAGGTTCAGATAAGTATAAAACTGATATTTATTAACCTATTGCCTTTAATAATAATTGATGTGTGTGTACAGCTGTAATAATGGTTTACGCCATTAATGTTCCTCGTTTATAAGCGATTGACGTCACGATTTCGCCACTATATCAGATTAATATCGCATTAAAAACAAAAGGATGAATAAATTGGCTAATAAATAAAACAAGCAAAAGCAAATTCAGTTGACGACCTTTAAATAGCTATGAACAAATATATTTACTTTTGACACTCTGTATTTACGTATATATATGTATATATGTATAGGGCACCTCATGGTGATGTAATGGTTAAAAAGCTTGTCTTGCTAGAACACTGTGTAGTGAGTTCGATCCTCACTGGGTGCCCCATACTTTCGGCCTTGTGCCATGTCTAAGCTACGTTTGGAAAATCTCTATATATGTGTTTTATGGTCCAGGTTAGGACCAAGGAAGAACAACACGAACACAAGAGTAGAAACAACGAAGGTATATTACACGAAATAATAATACAAGATGTGGAAGGTGTTAGTATGACTGTCAGTCTGGTTTGGAGTGAACTACTATCGGCTCAACTCGATTCGGTATCTAGCCCCCCCCCCACGAGGATTGCATGTGGCACAAGTTTAACGTTGGTTTCCCGAGCCCGTAGGCTCGGCCAAAAAATGTCCGTAGAACCCGTATAAACGGGATCGGGTTGGTCAACCTTCCCGAAAGAGACTCTGCCTTTCCGTGGAGCCTCGTCCGGGTTCCTCTCTGCTCAGAGGCAGAGAGTTCGAACGTCAAGCCGAGGCGTAGTATACATAGTGTTAGGAAGAGTTCATTCTGTAGTTATAGATAATGTATATGCAGCAACAGAATACAACATGTATGTAATGTATATCTGGCTATTTTTCAGCGCCCCCACGTCACTACCGAACGTGACAAAATCGAGGCTTAAAGAACGTTTACCGGCAATACCGTGGAAAAAATGCCAATGAAGCATCAGCATTTCCTCTTTGGGGGACGTCTCAAGCGTCGGGGAATAAACCCAGTCCTCCCCCGGCAAAGAGGTACTGCCTGGAGGGAGGGATCCGTGGGGCTTGGGCTTTTAAAACTTCCCAGGCTTTGCCAGGTAAGTAGGTAATGTATATATGCATGAATATGCCAACAGAATACAACAATATAGAGCCTTTTACATGCAGAATGTGGCAAAGAGGACAAAAACCGTTCGGGTCTTACAAGACAGTTGAAGGTATGCAAAAACAGGCGAGACCTGTACTGCCGGGACGTCAAAGAAATCAAAGTTAGCATATCGTGCATGCGGCACAGAATATACGTCCTTTGCTGGCTTCAGGCGTCACTGTAAATCCCAAGATCAGTATTAAGTCAGTGTTATTTTGTCAACGACGTTAATACTCGGGTGACGAATCGACAGCTATCATATATAGTTACGCTATCGGCGTGTGGATGAGTGATTAATACGTTGGCTTATCGACTGGCCATAAGATTCCGGTTTAAATCTCATCGCTTTATCAGGAAGATGACTTCTTGATCTTGTCGGTCTGAGACCCAGCTTTAGACACTTCAGGACAATACATGAAAACAATACCATGTTCAGTGGGTGAAATTGGGTAGACGGAACAGTTCGGAAGTTGTCAATGGTTGTGATAGCACAAAGTCTCATGTCATCCTGATCGAGAGCTTAAGCGTCTCTCTTCCAGAAACTGTAACTGCGGTCCGCCCAGACCGCATTCAGCGTAATGCTATTCACACCAGATTAGCCGCGCTCTTTTCAATATTGTTGCAGGTGGGCTATGTGGGTACTGAGCAGGCTTCTGCGACAGGAATTCACTAGTTGCCCTAGCAGACGGGTGTGCTCAGAAAACGAGAGTAGCCGGCCATTATATGTATGTATACGCTCTGTTATAACGACTTGCTATGGTCATAAAACTGAGGTGGCAGCCATTATCTATTTATGTCCTTGTGGAGAAGTTTGAAGTACGAATTTTTTCAGTATCTCTCTATATTTCTGAGATGAGGTATTATGTACACTATTTATACTATTCAGACTATTTTCCTCATCTTTGTTGCCATATTTATTACAACGTTTCGGCTGTTGTACACTCCGGCCTTCTTCAGGTGGTCGGAATGTCGAACTGAACCCTTTATTTAGCTCCACTTTATTCACTGTCTTAAGGTCACATGGCACAGTGAATAAAGTGGAGATAAAGTGGAAAACTTGGAGAGGTCAATTAACAGTGAAACTTGAGTAACGACTCGAGATATACTTTGTTAAGTACTGACGTTGTGAAGCGTTTTTGTTCTATCTGGGTAGGTCTGGCTATTCAACACTTTACTTCGTATGTAGGGGTTTGCCTTTTGGTCTTTCCTTTTTTTAGTATTTGTCCTTGTCTAAGGTGTTATGTCGTCTACCAAGTTGTCTTTTGCTCACACCAACATGCTTGTTTTTTTCTTTAACAAATACAGAGATATATAGCGAAATTTTCTAAATAACTAGCACAATGTTGCAATTTTCTTCGCTGCTTATAATCTTTGCAATCATTCATTTGGAATCTAAAATCTTTAGAATCTAAAACAATTGCTTTCACTTGATCTCATTGATATATATATATATATATATATATATATATATATATACTTATGAAATATAGTCTTAAGGTGTGGTATATTTATGGGATAGAGTGCTCAATATCAGAGATGGAGCGTGTGTAAATATAAAAGTGAACATTGATGTTAACACTTAGAGGCGACAGGCTGTCTCATGCTAGATGCAATCGTACGGCCCGACGATTGCATCTAGCATGAGACAGACATCATCATAATACGATGAAAGACGAAGGA